CAAAATATTTTTTAATATCAAAGTTCAAATAAAGCAACAAAACAGCATTTTTAACATGTATAAAGGGTACCGAACCAATATGTCTATCACACACTCTAAAGTTAATAGTTTTTGAAAAACATAATTAGTAAACAATTATTTTTTAGTATAACATGGAGATGAAATGTTATTTTTTATATATATATATATATATATGGGATTTAATACAAAATCCATTAAGAATAAAACGTGGGATATATCTGCCACGATTATATATCCAACACTTAACATTATTAATGCAACAATAACAAATTTGTCAAAATCAGACCCTATAAATTAGTGCTAAAGCTTTTTCGTATTTATATTTAACAGTTGGCCAAAATAATTTATTTTTATTTTTAGGCAATCTTTGGTATACTAGATACACACAAAGATAAGATTTAGCTATAATATTCAGACTATAATATAATGAAAATAAATGACTTGACCAATAATTTTATTGGACATATATTATTTACGTATAGTGTCTGTTTATGCAAAGTATTACAAAAATTCGACATGTAACTCAGCCTCCATAAATCAACACTATCATCATTATCACCAACAATAAATATTAATACAGTGAAACACGTTTTTACTGCTTAAATTAATTTGAAGCTATATCTTGAACTTTTTATTGAAAAACATTCTTATTCATTGACCAATAATGGTTATATAAATACCATAATATAGTAGGTCAGTTACAAATGTATAACAAAATAACGACTTTTAGATTTTAGTATAGTATTATTATTACAGAAAATATTTTTACGAAAAACATTCATAGATATAAATGCATGTAGTAAATATTGATATTTTATTAAACATTGTTTACCATTGTCATTAAATTATATTTATTTTCAATATAAATAAAATATAAGTCAGTAGTCCAATAAAATAAACTTTAATGAATTAATAAAATGTTTTTAACTCAACAAATTTAAAACTGTGTTAGTTTGGGTAATTAACAATCAATAGTATTATTTATTTAAAGTAAATAACTCATTTAAATGTGTATCATGTGTAATATTGAACACAGGGCTAAAAATAATATTCTCAAATGACTTACGTGACAATTATCATAATATCAACCAATATTAACTAGAAATATTTAAGATTGATAATTTTAATTTTTTTTAATTTTGATACATTTAAATAAACTGACATGAATAATATGAAGCTTGAGATACATACACATTATTTATATACTGCAAAGAGTTTTAGGGATATTTGAAGGAAGCACTCATTACCTCTTCAAGTTTTAAATAAATTTCCGTCTTATTTTTTTTATTTGTGAGTGTGAAATATAACAATAGTCTTTAGATACTTTTAGAAAAATGTTTTAATCATTTATTTTATTTCATTTTACACATGTATTAACGCTTCACAACTTTTGTTTCTAAATAGAAACACCTATTATCCATTATGATTTGACGAACTCTCAAAGTCCAAATCTTTTTGAATAATTATGGTTGAATTTAAAATTTAATTATAGATTTTTCCATTCTTTTCTATTAATTTAATTGCAACAAAATTAAAGTAGTTATAACTTAGCAATTTTCTAACTTCAACATTAGTGGTTTAAATTTTAAACATCAATTTTCTGAAAACACTACATAAAAAATAATTTGTAATCAAAAATTCCACAAAAAAATGGTTTTATTTGAAAACTAACCTCGCTCATACACCATTCAAAAACTGTTAAAATTAAAAAAAAACTGAATATTTTAACGCTCTCATGCACATTGAATGAAAATTTACTTATGATTTAAATAGTGTTATTGAGATGTTTCATTTACCTCGAACACGCTGTATACATGCATTGAAATTATTAAAAGTAGGCTTAATAATGGATTTGAAGATATTCATTTGAAGGATGGTTATTTTTAAATAGCCTTTATAGCGAGATGTTATAATTTTTTTTACAAACATCAAATTAATAATAAAATAAAATCACTTTTTCGGCAAAACATATTCCATGTGATATGCAAATTAAGAACGGTTTTTTAGGAATATGTAAAACACACATGTTACATGCTTTAAGTTAATGAATATAATGTGATTTAAAATCTATCATGCAAAAAGTACGCGAGAGATTGACGATTGCTGCAAGTCGCATTCGGTGTAGGTAATATTAATTGATCAAGATGAGAAAATCAATGCACATAAAAAAAAATGTTATTTTGAGAGTATAGCGATGGACACTTGTTACTGATAAAGAGATATTAGCGAATTTTAAGATACTAGGTGTCCAGAATATTCAAATGAAAGGTTCCAAGTATACATTTTGAACAAAAAAAATCCAATTTTCTATCCTAGTCTATTCTCATTCAAGTTTCTTTTACAGAAATATTTTATGGTTTTTTTAAACTAATATAACTTTTCATCGATTAATTGTATTACTATTTAAAAAAAATAATAATAATTATAGGACTTGATACAAAAATCGAAGTATGGAAACATCGACTGAATGAATTTTCGGTCCTTCGCCCATTCACACACATACATTAGTGTATCCAATTGGTATAATTTTAACATTAATTTTCTTTCCAGATTAATTTTAAGTACTATCTACATACATAAGTATTATGCTGTACATGCGTAGGCTTTCAATTCGTCTCAGTTTAACTGGGACAGTCCCCGTTTTAAAGGTATATCCCGGTATCCCAGCTAGTCATTCAGTTGTCTAATCTCGTATTATATTAATAAAACAGAATAATATTCTACATTATATTATTACATTATAATTATCTAATCGGTATGGTTACATACAATAATAATGTATTTTTGTATTAGTTAATAAATATTTAAATTATTAAATTATTAAATTACCATATACATATTTTTGTTTCCATGTAAACGTTACGTCAAAAAAAAAAAAAAAGGGGGTCTTTCAATGTGACGTCACGGTTTAGGGATTTCAAAATCTGACAACCCAAGAAAACATGTAGTTGTAATAAATTGTGTTTTCGTTTTAAAATAGGTAATAATGTGTGATTAAAATATGGGTGATTGTATTTTCACAGTACATGTTACACGTGTTACATAAGTATTGTGAGTCTTAACATAAAAATTTCAGAGGAAGGGGGAAAATAAAGTCCACCCCCGACCACTTCGTCTGTACACGGTCTTGAGCGGAGATTCTAAGACGATTTCCGGTTAGAAGGCAGCATTCCAGCAGTCGGGTTGGACGCACCTGGGATGATCGCCGCCGCGGCTGGTGGACATATGGCGCCTACCGGGGGTCAACTATGGTAAACAAGAACATGTCATGCGGAAAATATGCAAACGATTCGGGGTCCGTAGGTCGGGCGAGGCCGCGCGGCGGGGCGCGAGAATGCGGTGCTCTATTTTCGTCGACGCATTCCTCGAGGCCTCGCTACGACGGCCGCCACACGGAACGCGCCAAAAATACAGAATACCTATACACCGCGTGCACCGTAATCCGCGTATGGCCAGTTGACCGTCGCCGCCGCTACGCAATTATAAAAAGCACTACGCCCCCGAGTCCCCTTAGCGCGCACACGCCCAATTCATTCACACGTGTTCCCCCCCCCCCCCCCCACGGCATCACGACTACGCGCTGTTTTCGGAAATCTCACGGCTAACTGGACAAAACGAACCAGCAACTCCGTGCAGTGCACTGTGTCTCGTCCGACACCGATTTTTCACGATACAATGATATATACGCGATGCCTATAGCATATGAGCGAGACATGCACATCAACATACATATGACAGATACGACTTCGTATTATTATAAGATGTATTCAATAACAATAACCGAAGATGAAAGATGAGTAACGATTATTGTCGATGGTCATGAGGTTCGATCGGTCGAATCACTGAAAAACTGAATCTAGGATTTCTAAGTTATAAGCAGTAGGCTTTTCGGCAAATTTTCTGGAAAACTTTAAAAAAATCTTACCTGTTATAGAATATGTTATGTACACGTATACATTTCTTCTGAAAATACTGCTAACTGTGTGCACGTTTTGGCATTTTCTGAGTCTGCAGTAAACATACATATAAAAACACTGAAATAGTAATACATGCAACAAATTTTCATATTCTATAGATTGTCAAGCACTGAACAGTAGTTTCAACTATGTTGGTCACAGTCTTACAGTGTCTGTTTTTAAAATTCGAGTATGTGAAATCGACGTACGTAAAATGCACATCTCACACAACGTGAGTTCCTATTTGTTAAACCAAACGGATGACATAGGTATTTCGACCTAGAAAGTATGGAGTTTTAATGTACTCAGGATGATACGACTGTTTAACCGTGCGTGTACAATGTTTATCATCAGGTGTATAGCTCGGAGTCGAATAACGAAACAATATTAGTTACAATCACACAAAAACGTTTCTCTGACCCAAACACAAGACCTTTTTCATCGACCGTTACGGACAACGCTGAACTGCAAGATCAGACCAGATCATAGGGAATGCCAATCACCCTTTGTACAAATTATAGAGGTTTTCCAAGTCACACATCCTTTTCCGATCCGAGAAAACTTAATCATTGAGTTGTAATCCTAACCGAAATCGAAAGAAGGCTTGAAAGATGTAACAGCGTCAAGACTATCAATCGGCTGAGTAGGGCGGATTTACCGCGTACGCATGTATTCTACATCATGTTTGGGTTTTTTTTCTCCGTTTTATTTCAAAATTCTGGATTTCGTACCAATTATTACGCGTTATAAATAAATTGTGGTCATATACCTATCGGTTAACAAACCGTATTGAACTTAAGAAAGAAAACAAAATGGAAATATGTTTACGCCGCGTGGGCTGATAGCCAGGTCAGGTCAGTAGTGTGGTGTTAGGCCATATTTAAATAATAATAACGGTAGCAAAAACACCACCAACAACAACAACAACAAACGTACGGCGGCGGTGTCAACGAGAATCTTTCGCAGGGAGCCGATCCGCGGGGGTGCGCGTCGGTCGACCGGCGGCCGAGTAACGCCGGATAAAAGCTCGCGTCTATCCGCATTCTCCGAACACAACCGACAACGAACAGCATGGCCGGCGCTATGGTACTGGGCAGGTGTTCACCGCCGTCGTCCGCGGAACCGCAGCACGACGCGAAGCGCAGAGTTCCCGCGGACCGCGCCGGCACCATAGCGGTTCTCGACAAGTCAGACCTGTGAGTATCCGCTCCGCACACCTCGTTACTGTTCGCACCCGGAACTACTAGTATTTCGTCGAGATATAAAAAAAAAAAGAATAAAATCCGTTTCAAAAGCGTCGTTCGATTTAATTTTGTTTTTTTTTTTTTTTTGTTCTCTTTTGGTTTATTGGTCTATTCTGTTATTGATTTATTTTTTTCCTATTCTCCCGTCAGATTCAGGGTGTCGCACATCTGTCCAGGTCTGGCGCTGTGCAGCGCTCTATCCATCTATACGGACAAGGAGACCGTAGCGGTACTCAGGCCCACGTGTCTGGTCAATTGCGCGGACGAGCTTCCGGACACGCCGCTGCCGGACACGGTGCGTAGGTACCACAAGGTACCAGTGACGGATACCCCGGTCACCGATCTTAGGCCTCACATGGACACCGTCGCCGATCTCATACACCAGGTGAATGCGAATATTTTTATTTTTATTATTATTTTTTTGTTATTTTCGTAAAACGATGTTGAGCGGGAAACGTACGTTCCGTTGTTGAACAAATTTGTTGAAAATACAACGCTGTTGTTAAACCATCATTCGAGTTCAATCAATTAAACATTTTTACAATCGACATGATTAAGTAGATACTTATACGTAATTATATCGTTATTGTTTCGATGTTGAAAAGCAAAAATTCCAGTTATAGTATATGTATTAATACCTGTAATAAGTGTATTGATGTATGCTTATTGTTAATTCTGAAAATTTTCTGTAAATTGATCATCGAGTTTCGATCAATTTCCCATCCATTTACCAAATTAAGGGGGGGGGGGCAATGTCCCTCTTCTCTCTAGATTTCCGATTCTGTCTATATGTTTGATATAAAAATCAAATAAAATTTTTAACTTAAGTATGAGATACAGTATAACACATTATGATTTCGCTATAAGAGGAACTATGTAAGTTTTATATGGAAATACTTAAACTATCACGAACTTAAAAAAAAAATTAATTAACTGATTACAAATATTAAATGTTTTCCAACCACTAAAACAGGTGCGTATCGATTAATAAAATATTATAAGATCAAAATATACATATAAATGAAAATATGCCCATGTACATGTGCTCGTATTGAATATAGGCCAGGGAACACATAGGATTAATCGTTTGGCGTCCATCCCGGTATGCAATTCCTTTGGGCCGTTAGCCCGTCACACATGCATGAAAGAAAACGCACTGAAAACCGGAAAATAAGCTGTTGTCAGTCACAAACAAAAATGGCTGTCAACGGTGTTTTGAAAGGTTTCTGCCAGAAATTTAAAAAAAAATGAAAATCAAGAGGCAGATATTTATAGGATAACTACTAGTGAAAAACAAACATTGGGTATATTTTTAAAATTATAGAGAATACGACAGGTAATATTTATATGTTGATTCTATTTATAAATAAACAATAGGTATATAACTAATGCTCTCGTAAACAGAAGCGTTCATTTACGTTTATGGTGTAATTCAAGAAAACTAGAAAATCAAAAATATAAATAAATACTCAAGTTGTAGTACATAATAATATTTACTACGTAAAACACTTATCTTAAAATTTAAATTAATATGCATACTGAGTACTTAATCAAATAATTAAAAAATGTAATATTTTAACTATAGGTTTTAATTAAATAAGAGTTCTAAAAATGGGTTGATAAACATTGCGTATCTTACCTTAGTATTCTAACCGGTAATCAGTTTCTAAAATAAACTTACCAAAAAAATTAATTTATATATTTAATTAAATTTTATCAAATTTATAAATCGCATAATTGATTAAAATTATTAACAAAATGTGTTAATTTTTGTTCACAGGAATATGTTTCTGGAGGTACAACTATAATTCATTGCGCAGCTGGAGTAAGTAGATCAGCTGCATTTTGCATTGCGTATCTTATCAAATATTGTGGTATGACCATGAATAATGCATACCGTCACGTAGCCAAATGCAGACCATGTATAAATCCTAATCATGGATTCATCAATCAGTTATTAGAATTCGAAGGAAAATATAGAGAAGAATAGAAGTGAAAACAACACTAACAATAAACATTAATCATTCCAAGTATTAAAATGTATGTATAAAATTTTTCTAATTCCTGTATAAAATTATAATTTTTGTTTAAAATGTATAAATTTATTTATTTTATTTTTATCGATGTACTTACACTTGTGTCCCTTTAAGTTTTATTGCATTAAAAATGAATATAACATTGAAATATATTGAAGTACGAGTTGTTGTGTATAATATACTTTTAACTGCCAACATATATATACATTCGTTATAATGTCCTCTATTAGATGAACAAAAACAAAACTTTTTTCAACAACTATTTATGTAGATAACATGTATGCTTCAAATTGTAAAAATAGAAAACTTTTTTATAATGTGTTACAATTAGTAAATTTTAACAATTTCAATATTGTTTTGATATCGAATAAAATATTGAAAAGGTTTGTATTAATAAAAAAAAATGGGTAAGATACGGATTTCGAATATAATTCTTTGTTTTTGTTAGTTGTTTTGTTTATATAAATTAAAAATAAAAAAAAAAGTAAAAAGTAAAAATAAAAACCATTCAGATTAAAAATTGACATAAAATTGATACAACGTATACAAATGTTTCTATTAAATCCTAAATAAAATATTAGTAAAAATCAACTACGACATATTAAAATACTTTAAAACCTTAGATAAAAAATTTAACTGGCCAATTTTCCAATAAAATATCTTAGAGTTAACTTGCACTGGTACTACATAATCACATTATAAAATACAAATTTATTAGTTTAAGTTCTAGACTCAGGTGCTTCTGTAACACGTAGTCAATAATATGACATTTTTTTTATTTCTTTTTTTGTCTTTTTAGCCCAATAATGTTGGTAAAAGTATTAAAATTAAAAAAATTATTTCGAAATAAATTATCCGTGAGTAACACGCAAATATAATTCTAATACCGTATGATCGCTTTATTAACTATAGTTGTATAAATAAGACGAGATAATCATGAACAAAATTAGCACACTTTAAAATATGTGGGCTTAAATATATCGTGTTAAAATGATAATGTTACTATTGTCTAGCTCAGGGATGGCCAACCCGTGGCCCACCTTGAAAAGTTTGCGACCCGCGAGATTTATCAAACATTTACGAAAAAAATGTATTTTTGTCCCAATAAAATATTCTGGAATGCCCGTACAACATGGAATACGTACTATTAACAATGTAATCGCAACAAACTGTTTGATTCATTAACAAAATCTTTGTTCTCAAGTATTGTCGATGAACCATGTTATGCAAGTAGTCATAAAAACAGTGAATGTAATTCAATCACATGCGCTTCCGCACCGATAATTTGAAGAGTTCTTGAAAGTATTGGATTCAGAATTCAGTAATAAAAACAATAATTTATTCTGTTTATTTAAAATGATTAATACACCAAAACTTATATTGTAATAATAATTAATTCTGTACTAATACTAATAAATAAAAATACTAATACTAATTAACGAATACTCCACATTTATTTTTATTGGAACAAAATACTAATATAATTTTATATGTGACCTGTGGGATCGTTATGAGTTTCCAAAGTGGCCCGCAAGATCATTTGGGTTGACCACCTCTGGTTTAGCTGAAAATATATAATAATCATGCATTTCTTTATTTGGATATTAGTTCGTTTTTATAATTGTACTCGTATAATCAATTAAATACATTATTATGGGGTTTAGTTTATAACTTATATAAGTCACAAGTGAGTTGCTCTTGATAAATCGTAGTAGTGATGAAATAATGATAGTAATCATTATATGTTTAATAATAGAACACAACATAAATAATTATTAAAAATTAATCGTATTTTTCCTTAATATACATTGTTGCACAAAAATAAGAAATATTAACGATATTAACAATTTTTTTTTTAATTTTGATTAAAAAGAAGAAGAATGACCAATTTGTTGAATAATATACATTTTCATGGAAGGGGCTAATTGGACTCCCCCCCCCCCCCGGTGGACTGTTCATCCAACAAAATCATGCCCGAAAAAAAAAAGTCGTGCGGTCTATACTCAGTACACAATACCAGTAGAATACAGTACAGTAGTATTATGCAAGTGACTTTTTTTTTAGTTTTAAATGTGTTTTTATTGTTTTACCTTTATGGTCTTAATTAAAAAACATTCCCATCATTACAAGTTTCTTAACATAAAAAATTAATATTATTACATGAATAAAAAAAAAAAAGGTGATTATTTAAAAATTTGTTATGCCACCTCGGCTATAAAATTCTGAACACGCCTATACTAAAAACGCGATATTGCATTTGCATTGCCGTTATTTTGAACGCATGAGAGATATTTGGACCACGCTCAATATTTAACAGTGGGAATATCAGTACGTGTTATTAAATATGCTATAATTTTATTTTTTTATAACATTGATAACAATAAAAATATTTTATAAAAAAAAAACTTTTGATTTTGAAAACCATTAGCGTATTAATTGAATGTATAGTAGTATTTATTAATATTAAATCACAAAGAATTTTTAAATTCTCGATTTAACTTAATGTTGTATCAACGTGAAAGATTAAGAAGATTTACATTTTGTTTACCAGATCGAGTGTAAACAATAACGATTATACTTTATAAATATGCTGTGTCCATTGCTCGTTTGTGTTAGAATACCGTTCAAAATTAACATAATACAAGGTATAGTCAGTCAGTCAGTCGCAATGGAATTTGAAAGATAATAAAATTCAAGACTTTAAATAGTAATTATTAATTACTTTCAATGAGAATGGGTACATAAACGATAAAGTTGTTTAGTTGATAAAGACTACATTTCTCTTACTATACACAATAATTTAACTAAGTAATTATTATTTCATAATCAAAATAGTGCATATATATATATATATATATATTATTTAGTACGCAAGGGCGGGATGGGACCTAATTTCGGCCTTGGAAAATTATTTTGCCGGCTTATCAGCTCATCGGCTGATTGTATCCGGGGCTAACCTACGCAAAAACTCAAAAAAAAAAATTATTCTATATCTATCAAATTTATAAAATTTAACAAATACGTTTTTTGTTTTAATATTTTCATCTAGTACATATTCATAATACATAAAAAAAATATACATACAAGTGTCATAAAGTGTATTTCGATAAATCTAACTAATAAGAGTAATTTAGAAAATAATTTGAATTTTTTATCAACTTTATTTATTATCATATTATTATCTAAACTATAGACTGTTTTTCAATCACCATACACAAATGATTCCAAGTTTTTTTTAAATATTTTAAGCTGGAAAATGACCTTTCACAAGTCACTTGGTTTACCGACAAAGTTAGTAATTACTGATATGCAATGACTAGTGTATGATAAGGATTTGAGTAAAAATTATACTTAATCAATGCATTATAACAACTAATACTACAATTTTTACATGGTTTTGATATGTTCTTATCCTCATCTTCATTTTCTATGTCACTATTTAAGTACAGTTCTTCAGCATAGGTATTCATCATTTAGAGATTTCCTTAAATGTTGTCAAGATTTTGAATCTCTTAAAATTTCTTCGGATAATTTATATTTTATGTCATTTTCACTGTCTTCATCAAAATAGTCTTAATTATAAAGCTAATTTAGCGAAAGCATTTCGAATCACAAAATAATCAAAATTAATAGGTGATAATTATGATAAATCAATAAGTTTTTCTTTATTAATTGTAAATCGGTTTTCCATACTTTCTAGAATTGTATCAAATACTCTATTATATACATCAACGATAAACTTTTTTCAACGTTCATAATCAGTAGCTTCATAACTTAACATTTTTTTCTTTCTAGAAATACGTTTAACTTCAAATTGACTTTGAACTTCTTCAATTTCCATATCTTCATTAGGTTCATTAATCTATGTTAAAATTATAGAATGTCATTTTAGATATAAACAGATATTTTTTTTAAATTCAAATAAAAACACTTCTACCATTTGTATGCATTTAAGAATATCTAATCCACTAGTTTGTATCTTAACATTTAGACAGTGATTGAAAAAATCTTTATAAATATATGTGTGATAAGAATTTCATCATATTTTAACGACGCATTCAATAGGTTAAATGCTTTTGTTTGAATGTCTGGTGTAAATTATTCTTTTGAACAAATTTGCCTAAGTACAATAATTAAATCAGGGTACATGGCTTCATCATACATTCCACACTTACTAAAAATCCTATTTACTGCAGTTTGTTTCAATGTTCACCTCCAATTAGTTGTAAACGCTTATGACGAATGTTTTCATTATTTTTTTCTCTTATATTTCACTATATATTCATTCATTCGCTTATGATTCTTTTATACAAACTGGATATTCATTGATTAAAGAAAAAAGTTAATTTCATAAATTACTAAGTTTAATATGTGACTAAAATACCAAATATGGACAGGGCCGTCCCGAAGATGAAAATCAAGAGGGAGGAGGGGGTGAATAATATGTAAGCAGTAAAATTAACTATATGTAGTCGTATTTTTACTTTTTAACATGTATAAATGTGTCAGTGTCGCACGTTTTTAAAATTGATAATTTAACTATATATATAATAATAATATTTTATATCGTATAATAAGTAGTTATATACATTTTATTCGTGTATACACTGTATTACGAAATATGTAATATTTATTTTCCGTAAGTAAAGATAGGTCCTTTTAGACCAGGGGTGGCGAACCTATGGCACGCGTGCCAACGATGGCACGTTGACCAAATTTTAATGGCACACGCAAAAAAATTGAAATTATTAAAAATTGTACACAAAAAAATAATTATACTATTTATAAAATGTTGGTTATAAGAAATTCAAAGAAACGAATTATATATGTTTTAAAAATGACAATATTAATTTCTCATGTTTTCATATTTTTCGTCAAATTATGTTTGTGAAAGCTTATTCGCCATAACAAATTTAATTAAATCGAAGGAAAGAAATATTTTAACCGATGAAACAATTTCTGCTTGTGTTTCACTAAGAATGACTAAAATGTAATAAAAATAATATAATAAATCTGTAATTTTATTTTTATTCTTAGAAAATATTATTTTATTTGGGCACTTAAACGATTTTTAAAACCTTAAAAGAAAAAATTTGGCATTTGAATCAAAAAAGGTTCGCCACCCCAGTTCTAGGCTATAATGAAACAAGTCCGACTGCC